TTCCTTCTGAGGCTCTGAAGGAGAGTCCGTCTCCAAGCTTCTGGGGCCGCAGCCCTGCCTCCAGCTCCACATGCTTCTCCCTGCGTGTCTGTCCCTCAGCCCCCCTCTGCCTTTCTCCCGTGAGGACGTGTGGCATCGGATTTAGGGCCGATCCTAAATCCAGGACCGTCTGACCTTGACATCCTTAACCTGGTTGTATCTGCAGAGGTTCCCTTCCACTAAGGTCCCTCTCACAGGCTGTGAGGCTGGGCATGTGGACGGAGCCTCCTGGGGCTGTCACCCACACACCACGGCTGGCCTTCCGAGACGTTGGGGTCCTAGGTCAGAGGTCGTACTCCCTGGCAGGACCAAGGCTCAATTTGACCTCTGCCTTTTTTTTTTTCTTCTATCTAAAAATAAAAATTCCTTGTCATTGTTTACAAATCGGGGTGTTGCAGGCAAAGGCCCTGGATTTCAGGTGGTCTGGCAGCACTGGGCCCCTCTGGCCCCCGAGTGTGTAGTTTGCTGCCGTCTTCACCGCCTCCTGCAGGGCCGGGGCACGCTCCAGAGCCCAGGCTGTGGGTTCAGATCCTATTTCTGCCGCCTACGACCTGTGACTGCCAACGGGTTACAGAGCCCTCGGGGCTGTTTCCTGAGGGGTCATGTTGCTGCGCAGTGCGGGCTTGGGGTGGAGCGGGTTGACAGGTCATGTGCGCAGCACACTTGGAACAGGGCCCGGCATGCGACAAGCGGCTTATCAGTGTCATCGCTGCCGGCAGGCGCTTCAGCCACCTGCTTACCTTCCCTGCCTTCGTAGTGTGTTCTCCACCCTCCGGGAAGGGGACCCGTGTTGCATCTCCTCTCCTGTGCAGTTGAGTCATGCACCCACTTCACCCGGGGGGGCTGGGGGTACTGGGAGGATTTCAGTCACACAACCAGAATGAGCTGTACACTGGTTAGGGTGAATTAGACCCCTCAGACCCTGGGGCCCTGCAGCACGGATGCCCCATGCAGACGCATGCTCTGTTAGAGGGAGGGTACCTGTTGAGCCGCCAGCACCCAGCAAAGCTGTCCACTCAGTGTGAGAGTCTGCTTTGGGGGCCGGGGCCACAGCTAATTCTCTTCAAGGTTCTACATGTCTAACGCACGCCTGGCACATAGTCCCTGAGGACCTGTCTATCCGTCCCTCCATCTACCTGTCCATCCATCACCCATCCATCATCCATCATCCTTGCATCATCTGTCATCCATCCATCCATCTATCCATCCATCAATCCATCCATCATCCATCATCCATCCATCATCCATCATTCACCCATCCTCCATCCATCATTCATCCATCGTCCATCATCCATCCATCATCCATCATCCATCCATCATCCATCCATCATTCATCCGTCCATCCTCCATCCATCCATCATCCACTCATCATCCATCCTCCATCCATCCATCATCCATCATCCTTGCATCATCTGTCATCCATCCTCCATCCATCATTCACCCATCCTCCATCCATCATTCATCCATCGTCCATCCATCCATCGTCCATCATCCATCCATCATCCATCATCCATCTTCAATCCATCCATCCATCATCCATCATCCACTCATCAGCCATCCTCCATCATTCACCCATCCTCCATCCATCGTTCATCCATCCATCCTCCATCCATCCTCCATCCATCGTTCATCATCCATCATCCATCCTCCATCCATCCATCCTCCATCCATCCATACATCGTCTATCATCCATACAATGAAGGTGAGACACATCAGTTCACCTCCCTGCTTAAAGCTGTCCCATGGCCCCCCAAGTTGGTCACAATGAAACCCAGCCCCTCATCACAGCTCCAGGGTCCCACATCCTCTCATCTCTCATTGCTCCAGCCACACTGGAGTGAGTCTGGTCTCTCCAAGCTGGTTCCCGCTTCTGGCCTGTACTTGCTGTTCCCTTTGGCCTGGATCTTCACTTGCCTTACTCCCTCTCTTCTCCTGGTCACTGTCTAGGGAGCTTCTGCTGTGTAACGAACCATCGCACAACCTAGTGCGTGGAAACAACACACACTTTTTATTTCCTGTGGTGCTGTGAGTCGGCTGGGGCTGAATGGTCTCCTCCTTCACATGGCGATTGGCTCCATGTCAGCTGGGGAGATGGGGGTGGGCCATGTGTCTCGCCATCAGGCAGGGTACCCCGGCAGGGTCGCAGGGTCCCAAGAGCAGCAGGGGAGCAAACTCCGGTGACGGGTGACGGCGCCTGTCCGTGTGCTGCTTGCATTACGGCCAACCCAGGGCCTGGATGGGGGAGGGGAGGAACTGGTGGCCACTTTTACAGTCAGCCAATGGCATCTGTAGAAGCAGCTACTGTGTCCTGCTAGAGCTTGTCACCCACACGTGTGCATGCGCACACACACAAACACACAGTGTCCGCACGTGCTGTGTACACGTGTGTCCTCCTTGGCCCCCTTGTCCACACAAAAGGCACTGTGGCTCCTAGTCGGCACCTTGCTCTTTTTACAGCTGCAGACTCTTCCATTCCCAGCACCGCGATTTATTTCGGTTCAGCAAAGATACAGGCTGCCCAGCTAAATGTAAAGTTCCCATGAACACGAACAATTGTCAGTATAAGTATGTTTTGTGCGTTATTTGGGACATACACTAAGAAGATATTAATCGTTTATGGGAAATGCCAACCTAACTGGCGTCCTGGGTTGGACCTCAAAACCCTAGATGTGTCAAGTTTTGGGGTGTCTGCAATTTATTGTTTATTCCTCCAGTGCTGCAAGTCCCGCAGGAAGGGAGGGGCAGGCGGCCGGAGGCAGGGCACCCCCGGGGCCAGCATAGGAAGGCATGCTCCGCACCGGGCTGTGGTGGCAGTAAATACCCGCGCACCTGCCCCAGCACCAGTCCTGCCGGGGTGGGGGTGGGGTGGGGGCGGAGCCCTGGGGGGAAGGTGGAGTATGGCTCCCAACAGCCACCTGTGCACACATAGGGAGCCTGCAGACTGGTGTGTCTGTGGGATAAAGTCCTCAAAATGGAGTTTCAGGGTCAAAGCATGTGTGCGTGTATCATTTTTTAAAAGCCGAGGGGACTTCCCCGTGGCACAGTGGCTACGACTCCATGCTCCCAGTGCGGGAGGCCAGTTCGATCCCTGGTCAGGGAACTAGATTCCACATGCATGCCGCAACTAAAGACCCCGCATTCCGCAACTAAAGATCCTGCATGCCGCAATGAAGATCCCGCATGCCGCAACTAAAGAAAAAAGATCCCACATGCTGCAACTAAAAAATCCTGTGTGCTGCGACTAAGACCCGGCACAGCCAAATAAGTAAGTAAATAAATAAATATTTTTAAAAATTGAGGTAAAATTCACATAACTAAGTTAACCATTCACCATTATTTATTTATTTTCTTTCCTTCTTTCTTTTTTTTTTTGGACTGTGTCAGGTCTTAGTTGCGGCACACGGGATCTTTCGTTGCGGCGCCCGGGCTTCTCTCTAGTTGTGGCCTGTGGGTTTTTTTTCTCTCTCTAGTTGTGGCTCGCGGGCTCCAGGGTGCATGGGCTCTGTAGTTTGTAGCACGCGGGCTCTCTCGTTGAGGTGCGCAGGCTCAGTAGTTGTGGTGCGTGGGCTTAGTTGCCCCGTGGCCTGTGGGATCTTAGTTCCCCGACCGGGGATCGATCCCGCGTCCCCTGCATTGGAAGGCAGATTCTTTACCACTGGACCACCAGGGAAGTCCCTACCATTAACCTTTTGTTTTTCTTTTTTTAATTTTATTTTTAAAATTTATTTATTTTTGGCTGCATTTGGTCTTTGTTGCTGCACGCAGGCCTTACCCAGTTGCGGCGAGCTGGGGTCACTCCCCGCTGCAGTGCGTGGGCTTCTCATTGCGGCGGCTTCTCTTGTTGCAGAGCACGGGCTCTAGGCGCGTGGGCTCAGTAGTTGTGGCTCGCAGGCTCTAGAGCGCAGGCTCAGTAGTCGTGGTGCACGGGCTTAGCTGCTCCGCGGCGTGTGGGATCTTCCCGGACCAGGGCTCGAACCCATGTCCCCTGCATTGGTAGATGGATTCCCAACCACTGCGCCACCAGGGAAGTCCCCCATTGATCGTTTGAAATCACAGTACAGTGGTATTTAGTACATTCACAAGGTTCTGCAACCACCAAATCTATCTAGTTCCAGAACATTCCATCAACCCAAAAAAAACCCCGTCCCCGTTAGCTGTCACCCCCTACGCCCCTCCCCAGCCCCTGACAACCATGAACCCACTCTCTGTCCCTGTGGATTTTCTTGTCCTGGACGTTTCCCATCAATGGGATCACATGACAGACTCTGCAAATGGCTGTGCCAGGTTCCCTCCCAGCTGTGCAGACAGCACGTTGGGGGGTGCTGGTGGCCGTCGTCTGGCCACCCTGCCCCACCCCTCCCCCGGCTGTTCCTGCCTTCTCTGTCCCTCAGCATCGTCTCTTGGAGATTTTGAATTACCGAATTACCTTCCGTGGAAATGGTAATCTGGGCAGGGGTGGGCACACTCTCCCTGGAAAAGGTCAGACAGTCAAAGCTTTGGGCTTCGCGGGCCAGACGTCCTCTGTCCCGGACCCTGGGGACGCAGAAGTGAACAGGGTCGCCACCGTCCAGCCCTCCTGAGGTGACCTTCTAGTGGAGCAGAAAGAGAATGAACAGCAGATGGTTAAACGAACAGCCAGGAGTGAGCCTGGAGGAATCCACCGCTTCCAGGGAACAACTCCCTTACAGTCAGGGAGGGCAGCTCTGAGGAGGTGACCGGGAGCCTGGAGCTGGGGAAGGAAGCAGTCCGCAAATAGATGGGGGAAGGGACGGCTGGGGCCGGCTGGTGCAAAGGCCCTGTGGCAACCAGGCTGGGCCTCATAAGGACAGAGGCGGGGGCTGGAGCCCAGGGTGGCGGGAGGGGAGGGCAGAGGGCTCGCTGGAGGGAAGGCCTGGGTTCCACGGTCAGGCCCCAGCTGGGCTCTGCTGGGCTGGCGCTCACCCTGTGCTCTCTCCCCTCAGTACATGGGCTGCATCGAAGTCCTCCGTTCCATGCGCTCCCTGGACTTCAGCACTCGCACCCAGCTCACCAGGTGAGGCCCGGCTGCGGGGGTGGGGGGGTCTGGTGTGTAGCTCTGTGCTGGGAGGTGAGGGTGGTGGACTCGGCGACAATTCCCTCCCCCTTCCCGGCTTGGGGAGCAGCGCTCTGCAGGGTCAGAGCGATCTGGGGTGGGGCACAGTCCCAGCTCTGTCCCCGCCTGCCGGTCACCCACGCTCTCCGGACCCCAGATGATCTCCTGGAGACGACAGCGCATCCCTCAGAGAGTGTGTGGGTCCCACGAGGGGTGCTGAGGACGCCCCAGCATGTCCTGGCACCGGGGGGGCGGTGCTGCTGGCTCCTGGTTGAGACTCAGGGCAGGGCTGCAAGGGGCTGGGAGCCCGTCCAAGGCGACCAGGGCATGTCCACCGTCCTGGCTTTTTTTTGGTGCAGAGAAGGCGTGGTGGTGTCGTGATGTTCCGAGCTGCCTGGACCTGAGTCATGTAGAGTCAAGGGTACAGCCAGGGCTGAGGCAGGAGGGGCCCCCATTGTTTTGCATGTTGGAAACTGACTGAGTGCATTCACCAGAGACATTAAAAAACTCTACTGAGATATAATACACCCAATCAAAGTGTACACCCAAACTCTATTGAGATATAATTCACCCAATCAGAGTGTACAATTCGATGTATTTTGCTGTTTTCCAAGTTAGGCAACCATCACCACGATCTAATTCCAGAACATTCCATCACCCTGAAAGGAAGCCCCATCCCCATTAGCAGTCACCCCACCCCCTCCCCATCCCCTGACAACCACGCAGCCACTCTCTGTGTCTGCGGACTGGCCTGTTCTGGACGTTTCCCATCCATGGAATCACACCCTGTGTGTCCTTCTGTGTCTGGCTTCTCTCACTGAGCATCGTGTTCTCAGGGTCCGTCCACGCTGTAGCGAGTGTCAGGGATTCCCCCCTTTGCAGGGTTGAGTGATGGTCCCGTGTGTGGAGGGACCACATTGTGTTTATCCATCTTCCGCTGACGGCCGTTCGGGTGCTTTCTGCCTTTCGGGCTGTTGTGAGTTGCGCTGCGGTGGCCGCCCACGGGCAGGCTTTGTGTGGACGTGTGTTTTCAGTTCTCCAGGGTACGCACCTGGGGGTGGATCGCTTCACACTTTGAGGAGCTACTGCTTCATTTTGCCTTCCCACCTGCGGGGTGAGGGCTTGGTTCCCCTCACGGCACTGACATTATTGAGAGCCTTCTGTGTGTCCATCTGACCCTCAGGACCTTGTTAAAGTTCCAGCCCCTCCGGAGGGACGAGCTGTTTCGTGGAGTCTCTCCCATTCTGTCTGGGAGGGTTGGTTCTGCCATTGCGTCCGGGGGCCCAGAGCAGAGGTCATCCTCTTATGCCACAGATGGGAATCTTGGCCAGCCTGTGGCCACACAGAACTTGGGGTTCAGGCTGAAGGGCTGTGTCAGCAGCCCCAAATCTGACCCCCAAATCTGTCAAGTGGGCTGTGGCTCAGAGGTTCGCTGGTCACTGAGAAAGAAAGAGCTGGAGGGGGAGAGCTGAGGGCAGGAGCACCTGCGGGGCACACGGGGTGGGCGGCTGGGAGCCCGGAGCCCCTGGGCCAGGCTTCCAGGTGCCCCAGCGTTCCTCCCTCCTCTGAGCCCCTCCCCACTCAGGATCCACTGCACCCCTTCCTCAGCCCATCGCCCTCTGACCCCCCCTTCTCTGAGCCTCTGCTCCCTCCACTCCAAGCTCTCTAAGCCCCCTCCCTCCTCCGCCCACACAGGGAAGCCATCAACCGGCTCCATGAGGCCGTGCCTGGCATCCGGGGCTCCTGGAAGAAGAAGGTGGGTGAGGGGCCCATGGCCTCCGGGTGGGAGCGAGTCATGGCCATCCCGGGGCCTGCCCCAGCTGGAGCCCCACCGCGGGCCCACCTTCCCGGTGCCCTGTGCCCCCCGCAGGCCCCCAACAAGGCACTGGCCTCCATCCTGGGCAAGAGCAACCTGCGCTTCGCGGGCATGAGCATCGCCGTCAGCATCTCCATCGACGGCCTCAACCTCTCCGTTCCCGCCACGCACCAGGTGAGCGCCGCCCGCCCCTCCCCCCAGCCTCCGCCAGCCCCGCCCAGGGCGGGGTCTGTGGACTCAACCTAGGTGAAGCCTGGAAGCATGCTGGGCGCGGGGGGCGGGGGCGGCGTGCCTTGGGTGAAGTGCAGGTGTTGGTGTGAACTGCGCACCGGGACGCGTGTGGATTTTAGCAGGTGTGTCTGTGTGTCTGTGTCGGGGTTGTGGTGACGTGTCTGAGCCTGGCGCCCACGTGCACACGTGTGAGAATGCCCACCAGCGCGGGGCGGGTTTGTCCTCCCGTGCGGCCGCGTGGCCGTGGGTCTCTGCGTCCTGCCCTGGCTGCGGGGCTGCCCGTCCAGTGGGGCTCTCGGTCATCCTGGCGTACTGTCGAGGGGATGGCTCATCCCCTCACCCCTGTCCTTCCGGCCGCCCCGTGGCCTTGGTCTCGTGACCGGCCCGAGCCCCTGTCTCCTCCCCCGACCCTGAAGCGGCAGCCCCGTGACTGGTGGTCTCTCTTCGGCCAGATCATCGCCAGCCACCACATGCAGTCCATCTCCTTTGCGTCGGGGGGTGACACGGTAAGGCCGGGACTGGGGGTGGACTCCCGGCCCCTCTGCCCCCCCAGCCCCGAGACCCCCTGCCTGTGCCCATCGGTCCCACCCCCCGCGCTGCTGGGACTCCTCCGCCCGCTGCCCTCTCTCCCCAGGACATGGTGGATTACGTGGCCTACGTGGCCAAGGACCCCATCAACCAGAGAGGTGAGGCCCGGTGGGGGCGGGAGGGGCCCTTGGGCTGGAGCGCGTCAGCCAGCCGAGGCCCCGCTGACGCTGCGCCACGACCCCCAGCCTGCCACATCCTGGAGTGCTGCGAGGGCCTCGCCCAGAGCGTCATCAGCACCGTGGGCCAAGCCTTCGAGCTGCGCTTCAAACAGTACCTGCACAGCCCCCCCAGGGTTGTCGTCCCCCCGGGAAGGTACCGGCCTGCCCGCCCCGTCCCCCCGCACCTCTGCCGGCCCTGCCCCTCCTCCCCGGGCTTGGGTCCTTGTCCCCTCCCTGCTCTGCGCCTCTTGTGGCCCACGGCTCGACCACCAAGACCCCATTTCCGCATCTGTAAAGCTGGGATAACAACATCCCCACTCCCGGCTGAGGTGAGGGCTCAGGGAACTGGTTGGCGGGAGGTGGCCGTCATACGGTCGTCATTAGTCCGCACGGGGGTGGCTGGCGCTTCTGCAAAGGGCCGGACCGCACGCCCTGCCGTCTCAGCCATTGTGGCGGAAGGCAGCCAAGGAGGATGTGTGAGCAATCGGCGGTGGGCTGTGTGCCAGCAGAACTGTATTTATGGACACCCCAAACTCTGAATTCCGTCTGACTTTCACATGTCATCAGATGGTGTTCTTCGGATGTTTTCTTAGCCATTTAACAGTTCTGCGGCGTAAAAGTGTAGAAACCGTCCTCGGCTCCTGGGCCGGCAGAGACAGGCAGTGGCCTGCGGTCGGCTATTTAAATATCTGGACAGACAGGAATTGGCTAGAATAAGTAGTGAAAAAATGAATTTGTTAGAAGTCCGATATGCACCGATGAGGGGCCGGCGTGCGCAGCTGGGCACGCCCCTGTGGCCCTCGCACGGGCTTGCACGCCCCTCGCACACGCACGCTGGGGCGGCCCCAGTCCCTCTCCTCCCCGGGCTGCAGGGTCCTCCTCTGGGGCCCCCCTGTGACCTGCTGTCGCTCCCTGACTGAGCGGCAGTCAGCGGCTTCCCGTCTTTTGCTCTTAGGAACCACGCTTGCCTGGATGAGTCTCCATGGCATAAACTTCAAAGGCGCCATCCAGGGCCAGAGGGCGAGAGCATTTTCAATGCTGAGGGGTGTCACCACCCTAAGCCGTGGCTTCCGGGCTCTGGTGCAAGCCTGGCGTGGGCAAAGGGGGTGGAGACCAGCTTTTCTGAGGCCCTGCTTGGCCCAGCCAAAGCGCTGAGGCTCGTGCAGAGTCCCCTTTGATGGACAGAAAGGGGCACCCAGACCCTCCATCAGCAGCAGTTCCTGGTGCCACCGCTCAGCTGATGGGGGGCGGTCAGGGTCCCTGGGCCTGGGGTCCTCGGCACCCTGTTGGGAGCCGGCCCCTTCCCCGTCCCGTGCTGGGGCCTGTGCTCGCGCTGGCTCTGTGTCCGCAGGCTGACCGGGCCGGAGGACTCGGCCTGGGGGGACGAGGACGAGACAGAACACAGCTACTACAACCGCACTCCCGGGAAGGAACCGCCCCTGGGCGGGCTGGTGGACTCCAGGCTCACCCCTGCGCAGCAGCCCTGTGCCCTCGGGGCCCTTGGCCAGGTCAGCCTCTGGGACCTCGTGGGGAGGGTGTCCCAGGGGGGCCTGACCCCCAGACCCTCCTTCTGCTCCTGTCCTCCGGGATCCTAGAGGAGGGTCTCTTGTGCCGCCCCCACCTCCTTCCTCCCTCCCCAAGCTGCCCAGATCTGCTCGGCCCTATTCTTGACACTTCAGACGGGATTCCCATCGCAGACATTGAGGAAATGGGTACAGCAGTGATTGAATCAGGGCTTCCAAGGAGGATAACGAGAACGTACCCCAGGGAGACTGACCAGCCCTGGTCAGGAGGATGTCCCTGAGGGCAGGGTTTGGGCTGGGCCCTGACGGGTCAATAGGCGTCGCCCAGGAGAGCAGTGTAGGGAAGGGCATCAAGGTGCAAGAGGCAGCATGTGCCGGGGCAGGCGTTCCAAGTGGGGACGGCCCATGAGGCTGCAGCAGAGGTGTGTGGTGGGCGCACAGGCAGACGGAGGCCAGGGAGCGGGGGATGGGTTCAGAACCGAGCTTCAAATCTGGCTTATAGGAGGGTTGGTGTGGGAGACCGGGGTGCTGTGCTGGGAAGAGGGGGTGCTACAGGCCAATCAGGAGGGTTGCCGTGGGAGATTGGGATCTGGGCTTGCACACTGCCGGAGGACCCCTTGCTCTCTTTTTCAGGGAGCATCTCCTGCTCGAAGAGACGCCCGAGGCCCGCAGTGGGACGTGGGCCCCTCAGGTACGGTCGGCTGCTCTCTGGGCTGTGGGGGGGGGCCCAGCCCTCCCCCTGGGTCCCCACCGCCCCTCACACTGCTTCCACTCTTTGGGTCACTCCACTTTCACCGGCGAGATTGTATTCCCTCCCCATGCTCTTAGAGATTTGACAGCGTCTGCTTTTTTTTTTTTTTTCTGTGCAGACCAATTTCCTTGTATTTGGGGCATAGGTACTGCATCTCGTGGTTCAAAGCACCGGAGTATAAAAAGGCATCCGGTGAAAAGTCAGTCTCCCTGCCCCATTTGTTTTATCCACCTCCCTAATCAGGTAACCGCTGTTAGTAGTTTCCATGTTTTTTCCAGAATTTTGTATGCACGTTCATGCCAACTCAGACGTACGTGGCTTTCCCCGGTTTTTAGACGGCGGCGTGCTATCTACCCCTCCACCTTGCTTTCCCCTCATAACAACCCAGCTTGGAATCCTCCCCACGTCGGGGCACGGCAGTCGCCCCCCTTCTTTTTCACCACGGCATACTCCCTGCCACGCGAAGGGCCGTCCTCGCTCAGACATTTGGGCACTTTTCGCAGGTATTCGCCACAACAGCGTCCACCACTCAGCTCTGTTCAAGGGCCTCCGTAGAATCCGTACCCGGGACAGTGGCCGCTGTTCCATGTGATACAGGTCACACAGCTGCCCTTTCGATTTACATTCCCACCAGGTATCATGAGCTTTTAACAAAATGGTAGAGTTTTCAGCCATTTAAATGTTAACGTTATACAATGTTTACAGTGACAGAGAAGGCTAAAATCCCCTTTGCCCCAGCTCCGAGGTCGTGACCTCACCCCCCTGGCACTTTTGTGTCTCCTTTCAGCCTTTATTACCAACAGGCCCCCAAAGAAGTCAGGACCCCGAGGCAGGCCGCGGACACCTTCGGTCTCTCTGGGGCTCTGGCTGTGTCCGTGTGCTCTTCTGAACGGCTGCGTGCTAGTCCCCTGTCCTTGGAGTTGCTTATTGACGTGGCCCCCTCTTGATGGGTGGCAGACCCCTTGGGCCCCCCCGTGTGTCCCTCCCACGGATGCTGAGCTGTGGATGGAGTGCACACGTCAGCCACGGTAGGGAGGCTGCCGAGTGGCTCCCCGATGTGGCCGGGAAGTGTGTTTTCCCACCAGCCCTGCTGCGGCTGCCTGTTCCCTCACAGCCATGCTGACATGTGTTGGGCTTTTTTTTTTAGATCTTCCCAAACAATCTGGGCATTTCACTGCCGAGCATCAGAACCCTACCGGCTCCCGGAGCTTGTGGTTAAAGAACACGCGTGGCATTGGGTGCCCAGCAGGTCATCTGGCCCTGCTCAGCTATTTCTCTGGGACATGGGCTGCTCAGGCCTGACTCCCAGGGCTCACTAGCATTTCCTACCCCTGAGCCTTTGCACATGATGTTATCACTTCTTATCATGCCTTTCCCAAGTCTCTGGCCAAGAACTCCTACCAATATGTCAATGCCCCAGCTCCAATGCCCAGAAATTTTCTCTCTTTGGACTCCTGCAGCCCAGGTTTCTTCCTTCTCACTTCACCTTGATTATAAGAGGCCGGGAGAATCTGTGCCTCCTCTGTGAAGACTGGGAAGCCTGGGCTGAGGCCCCTCGGCCCCCATCAACCACCCCGGGCGGTTTCATCTTCACCCCTACTTGTGAGGAAGCTACTCCCATTCTCTCCATTTTGCAGAGGAGGAGACTGAGGCACTGAGAGGTGACCTTACTTGCTCATGCCCACAGAGGGTGGAGCCGATGTATGAGCCCAGGTGTCTGCGAGGGTTAAGGATATAATTGGCATAGAGCAGAGATCGTGGCTGCGGGCCCTTGGGCTGCATTTGGCCACAGTGTATTCAGAGGCCATTATTTCCCTGCCAACGATTAAAAATGGAGACATTTAGAAATGGATTGACACTTCTGGGGAAAAAAAAAAATACACACGTGTCCTTTGAACGTAGGAAAAGATGCTGAACCTTGCTCAGAATAAGAGAAATGGAAATTAAGTTCCCCCAGGATGCCATTCTCACCTACCGCGTCAGCGAAAATCCAACAGTCTGATAATACACGGTGGTGAGGCCTTGGGAACAGGGCAGAGGCAAAGTGGTGAGGATCCAGCAGATCTGGACCGAGGTGCTGAGGGACCCAGAGAGAAACTCCACCGAGGATACCTTTTCATGGTGTTGTGGCTTTTGAACCATGTGAATGCTTTATACATTCAAAAACAAAACTGAGGAAAGAAAAGAAAGGAAAGCCTAAAATAGAACGGAAGCAAACAAATGACCTGACCATGTATCATGTTGATAACATAATTACAGGGAGAGCAGAATTTTATTGTTATTATTATTATTTTTTGCGGTACGCGGGCCTCTCACTGTTGCGGCCTCTCCCGTTGCGGAGCACAGGCTCCGGACGCGCAGGCTCAGCGGCCATGGCTCACGGGCCCAGCCGCTCCGCGGCACGTGGGATCTTCCCGGACCGGGGCACGAGCCCGTGTCCCCTGCATCGGCAGGCGGACTCTCAACCACTGCGCCACCAGGGAAGCCCTGTTATTATGTTTTAAACGTGGAGATTTAACATAAACATTGGGGTTCCTGCCTTCCCTTGAAACTGGGAAGCTCTGGTCCCCTGGCCGCTTTCCTGCCTGGCAGACGGGCGTAGGTGTGTGGGGGGGGGCTGGGGGCGCGGCTCCCCGTGACCTCCGCGTCTGCACAGCCCCCGCGCCGGGCTGGGCTTTTATGCGGTTTTTCACTCCTAACCCTGCTGTGCAAAAGGGCGGGGCTTCCCTCCTGGAGGGAGACAGGTGTGGGTGGGGCTGCCCTCCAGGGCCCTTGTCCTTGGGGTCCCCCGGCTGACCGCACCCTACTCCGGCTCCCCAACCCCAGCCCCGCCCGGGGATGGCTACGTGCAGGCAGACCCGCGGGGCCCGCGAGACTACGAGGACCACTTGTATGTCAACACGCAAGGTCTGGACGGCCCGGAGACCCTGCAGCCTGAGGACAGCCCCAAGAAGGACCTGTTCGACATGAGTAAGTGGGGGCGAGCCAGCCTGCTGGAGGAGGCCGGGCCTGAGCAGCCCGTGGCCTGATGGGAGATGCCCTGCGTCCTCCCCTTGGGACTTCTCCCCAGGTTATAGGGTTGGGGTGGGGAAGTGTGCATCCTATGGTACTTCCTCCTCGGTGGGACCCTCCAGTCTCTTGAGGGTAACCCAGCTCCCTCTCTATGGGGGAAGAGTGTGATGGGGGGCGTTCAGGCGTCTCTTCTCTGTGGGACGCCTCAGTCTGCAGGAGGCCTAGCTCCCCATCTCTGGGTCTCCCCAGTCTGATGAGGGAGTTTAAGCTCCCTCTTCATGTGACTCCATGGTCTGAGGGAGGAGGCCCAAGCCCCTTAAATGGAAATCCCAGCCTAATGGGGAGCCCCCAGTCTGAGGAGGTAGGCCTAATCCACACCTTGATAAAGTGACTAGCTGATGGTGGAGGCCAGTCCTTCTTCCCTCTGGGATGCCCCAGCCTGAGGGAGGGCTCAGCCTGATGGAGGAGGTTTGGGTCCAAAATACACTCCTTTCCCACAACATCAATATTATTTATTCATTTGTTTGTTTGTGTATTTATTTTTGGCTGTGTTGGGTCTTCATTGCTGTGTGCGGGCTCTCTCTAGTTGCGGTGAGCGGGGGCTACTCTTCGTTGGGTGCGCAGGCTTCTCACTGCGGTGGCTTCTCTTGTTGCGCAGCACGGGCTCTAGGCGCGCGGGCTTCAGTAGTTGTGGCACGCGGGCTCTAGAGCGCAGGCTCAGTAGTTGTGGCGCACGGGCTTAGTTGCTCCGTGGCATGTGGGATCTTCCCGGACCAGGGCTCAAACCCGTGTTCCCTGCATTGGCAGGCGGATTCTTAATCACCGCGCCACCAGAGAAGCCCTGGATATGTCTTCCTTCACAGTTTGCAAAGCCTCCTTCCCTCCACCGACAACTCGATTTCTTGTCATTACAGTAGTGACATGACACCTGCACCTGCTGTGGCCCTGCTGGCCCCCACAGCAATTTCAGATGGGAAAGGAGGTGCTCCGGGTGTGAACTCCTTCTGAGGCAGGCTGTCCCCTTGGGTGACCAGCCAGATGGTCCAGCAACCCCAGTGGAGAAAGTGATGCTTGTTGCCAGGCGCCCATTAGAATCCTGGGGTTGCCTCTGATTTGCCCTCCTTGGGTCATGTGCTCATCCCCCAGCCAATCACTAGGCCAGGGGTGCGAGATGAATATGCTGATTGGCCAGGACTGGTCACATGTCCTGGGAGCGGGAGGCTGGGTCAGCTTCCCCTAGGTCACTGGAGGAGTCAGGGAGGAGTGATCCGGAGGGACCAGAAGTGGAAGGAGGGTGGAGGCAGAGCACAGACACGCCAGGGCAGGGGTCAGGGCTGCGACTGCACTCCAGGGTGTTTGAGCTATGCGGCCACATCTCAGAGAGGGTGACAGGCTTGCACAGCGTCACAATGGTGCCTGCTGGGAGCCTTAGGAAACTTAGGAAGACCATCCGGAGCTTTTCCATTAAGAGTTTGGAAAAGAAAGGGATGCCTGCTGCCTACCACCGAGGTGGAGCATGTAGTGGAGGCCCTGGCCAGTGCGGTCAGACGAGCTGCTGAAACAAGAGGCATAAACACTGGGAAGGAAGCCAGTGTAACAGGACAAGAAAAAGAAGTAGGTGTGCACCTTGGAAAGAAAGACATGCTCGTTCTTTGCACATGCTTAGAAAATCCAAGAGAATATATTGCGTTACTAATAGAACCAATGAAAGGTGAAGGAGCAGGTCCCCCCAGCCCAGGCCCCCCCCCCCCCCCCCCCCCCCCCCCCCCCCCCCCCCC